GAAGGAAGGAAGAAGGAAAGAAAGAAGAAAAGAAAGAGCGAGAGAGCATGGTGTCGATGTATGTGTGTTTGCATCTTTTATGTCATTTTGTGCTGTTTTTAGTTAGAGGATTTTAATTGCTTTTCAACTGTATTGTAATTTTTTATTTTTATTTTTTAAAATGTTAAACGATTTTATCTGTGAGCCGCCTTGGGTCTCTTTCTGGAAGAAAGGCGGCATAGAAATAATAATAATAATAATAATAATAATAATAATAATAATAATAATAATAATAAACAATAACAGGTTTTATTTTAATTTATTTTTATTTTTAATAGGCTTATTTTATTTTATTTTTAACAGGTCTATTATTAATGACAGGCTTTATGATGAGGCTCTGTTTCGGTGCGTGGTCTGCTACCTACTTCAGGCAAATAGGGATGGATGAGCTTTTGGGTTACTTTATATGTTTGTTTTCCCCAGAAAGTTGATCGATGAAAACCCAGTCGCTGGGGAGATCGTTTCGGAATGAGAAAAAAAGGTTTCAAGAGATTATTCAACGCTTCGCTGCGAGATTCAGAAGCCCAGACGTGGGATCCATTCAGCACTAAAGCTGGACCCTAAACTGGTTTGCTCAGCACTGAATCTACTGGAATCTACTCTGGAGTCAGCATTCATTTGACTGCAGCCTTTGGCAGCCCTCCTATCTATACACACTTAGAAGCACAACAACACACTACACTTCCTTGGGAGTAAATCCCATGGGACTCAACGGCATTGACTTCCCAGCCACTAGCAATCCCATGGCTAGGGTCCAATCCACATTGTAGAAATAACCCAGTTTCAGATCGTTTTAGCTGCCCTGGCTCAGTGCTAGGGAATCCTGAGAATTGTAGTTTGTTTTGGCACCAGAGCTCTCTGACAGAAGGCTCAAAGTCTCACTAAACTACAGTTCCTAAAATTCCCTAGCATTGAGCCAGGGCAGTTAAAGCGGTCTCAAACTGGATTATTGCTGCAGTGTGACTGCAGCCCATGTCGTTCCTCGAAGGTGAACACCTCGCTTCGCTTTTGCAGAAAAGCGGCCCATTTCAAGAGCCCATTTGGGGATATTTATTCATTTATTCGAGGTCACCATTGGCAACGATACAATGACAATTTGTAGGGAATAATATATGGATTCTTGGCGTAGTGGTTTGAGCATTAGATTACGACTCTGGTGACCAGGGTTCCAGTCCCATCTCGGCCATGAAACCCATTGGGTGACCTTGGGCAAGTCACACTCTCTCAGCCTCAGGGGAAGGCAATGGCAACCCTCCTCTGAACAAATCTTGCCAAGAAAACCTCATGATAGGGGTCTCCATAAGTCGGGAATGACTTGAAGGCGCACACAACAATAACAACAAGAAGGGTGGGGACTTCTGCCTAAATAAATACATTACGGGGGGTTGCAGACTGCCAGAAATAGTGCAAATTGAGTCCCTAACCTTTAAGGGTTAGGGAATCATGGGAACTGTATTTTATTGTGGCACCAGAGCTCTCTGACAGAGAAGGCTCAATGTCTTAGAAAAAAAACAATTCCCATGATTCCCTGGCACTAACCCTAACCCTAAAAGTGGACTCAATTTGCACTATTTCTGGCAGTCTGCAACCCCCCTAAATGCATCCGATTCTGTCTGATTTTGGCAGCTAAGCAGGATCAGCCCTGGTTAGCACTTTGATGGGAGACCGACAATGAATACCAGCTGTTGTAAGCTGTATTTCAGAGGAAGGACCTGACAAAATGACCTTTGAATGTTCCTTGCCTAAGAAAACCTTATAAAATTCATGGTGTCGCCATAAGTCGACAGATGACTCGAGGGTACACACACACACAATGTTGAGAGAGGAGACCTCACGTCTTTCTGCTAGTGGCTCCTCTGCCTTATAAATGTGTTATTTTCCCCCCCTGATAGAGGCTCCTGTGCATTTAAAAGAGCCTAGAGAGGGAGAAATTCAAGGCGTGCAACTCTTCTTGTCTTTCCTGGTATTTCACTGAGAGGAGGAGACCCCACTGTTGAATTTCAGGCTGTCTGGCACAGTTTCAACAGTTTGGAAAAGATACTTTTTTTTTGGACTACAAATCCCAGAAACCGCCAATCAGGATGCACATCCCATATCATTCCCACCCCCATTGTGAAACACACAAATGCAATTTTAGTGTTCCCATCCCGATCCTAACCGCGTTTCCCTTAAATCAGGCTTACATTAAATTAAAATTAAATTGACTGTAGAGAGATCTTGTAGCACCTTTGAGACTAAGGGCCTGAACAGACTGCCGGAAATAATCCAGTTTGAGACCAATTTAACTGTCCTGGCTCAATGTTAGGGAATCATGGAAATTGTAGTTTTTTTCTCCTGAGGCACTGAAGCCTTCTCTGTCAGAGAGCTCTGGTGCCACAATAAACTACAGTTCCCATGTTTTCTTAGGACTGAGCCAGGACAGTTAAAGTGGTCTCTAACTGGATTATTTCTGGCAGTCTGTTCAGGCCCTAACTAAAGAAAGAAGTTGGCAGCAGGAGCTTTCCTAGACTTTAGTCTACTGCCTCAGATGCATTTGGTGGAGATCCAGGCTGGTGGTTTGAGGACTTTGGAGGTCAGGGTTCGAATCCCCATTCGTCCATGGAAACCCACTGGGTGACCTTGGGCAGGTCACAAGCTCTCAGCCTCAGGGGAAGGCAAGGACAAACCTCCTCTGAACAAATCTGGCCAAGGAAACCCCATGATGGGGTCGCCTTATGGTCGCCATAAATCAGAACATGACTTGACAGCATATAAAGAAAACAACAACCCTATGCTGGATCGTACTCATTTGCACCCCTAACCTTACTTCGATCTGGTCCCAAACAGAACAGACCCACTCAATGAATGGGATTTATTGAATCAATTTATATAGTTGCCCTTGTTTCAGCTCTTGTAGGGACTAACTACGGGGGG